TTCTACTGAACACTACATGGGGTTCGACTTCGGTACCAGGCCATTATAACAAGTTCGCCGAACCACTAGAATTTTGTGGGTGTGTCCAACAAGTCCGAAAACCGACTAAGAGGAATAATATACATGATTTATTGACGAGACTCTAATTTATGGACGAACCTTGAACGAAACTTAGATGACCTTGACAATTATTAACCAATCAGAAGACAGTCAGTATAAAGTAAAAATTCATTATAAGAAACTAATGAATTGCGGTGGATATTTTTCTTTTACATGATTTAAAAACTTGTTAAGGTTTGATAAAGGTTCAGATGTTTTGAAATCACAATGCATGCGATATAGGAACTCGTCAACATGGCTCCATAATAGTCGTCCTCTAGAGCTGTGGTACAGTCTTAAAAATTCCTTCAGTCTGGACCACATGGCTTCAATAATATTAGTATGAACGCCGGTTGTAGGGTCGACGAAATGGCACTTGCGCACTACGACATGATGCACATACCCAAGTCCATGTAGGCATCTATAAGCCCTCCAATCATCCGTATATACTGTAGTGCCTGGCTGCACGTATTCCTGTATAATTGGTACTAATGTGCTTGCTTGTCGGTTTCTGACCCTCTGAAAATGCCCTTTTTGCTCTGATAGATCATAAATTCCAAGCACCTGTCAAGTATATTTACGGAAGTGCTACTTACCCAATCTTCCTTGATACTACGTCCGCTGTTGTATTTTCGCCTTCTCACTACTGTTTCATCTATCTCCACAATACATCCTACTCCTCCGAATGATTGGTGTAGACGTGTCATTTTAATTGCACATATGTCACGGCGATACTCATACCACTGGACTGCTGAAGTTTCAGTAACATCTGCAAACGCCGCAATTAGTGTTACTGGTCTCTTTATTATCCAATTTGCAACTATTATCATGATCTGCCTCAGTTTCAGTCTCGATCGAGCAAAGAAAGTCCCCGTACGAGCAGACTTTTTCCTCCAACATGAAGGACAACGGAATACAATCTCATCACGGGTAGTCTGTACACTTCACTGCAGTTATTTGATAGCCGCAGTCACACGTACAAGAACTTCTTAGTAGTCTCGTCTCTTGTAGCCTTTCAATAGTCACCTGTTCTCTAAAATACACTGTAAACCGATCGTATGTGAGCATGATGTGTTGAACTTGGCTACGTGACATTGAAATTGCTCAAACGCTTCTGATTGGCTCGTCCATAAATTAGAGTCTCGCCGATTTATTATTTACAATCAACATAGACCCTATCAGTGCACATTAGTCATGAGTTTTTATGAGTGATCACAGAGTTGCATTGAGTATTATTCATTCTCTAAACACTATACAGTTGAGTCCTAAAGCTGAAATAATGTACCAGAGCAGACAGTTGGATCAACAAACCTGAGAACGCACTGGAACTCTTATTCGATGTTTACCAGTGGAATCTTATTTTACCACAAATAATATTGACACTGCGCTTTCCGATTTATACCACAACGTGAAATATTGCCTTGACTGCACTAGACCAATTATTGGCCATGTGGCTTATAACGCTAGCATGGGCTAGAATACTTTTAAAACTTTAGAAAAAGCTGAGGAAATTGAAAAATCGCTACTACGAGCATAATGACGTGTATGCACTTCAGAGTATACTTGACTTAATCGACAGAAATGCTTCATCTAAACGCAAGTATTTTAGGAATATAGAAAATAAAGCCCTTAGTAGTAAAAGCCCAGAATTATCAATACTTTGGCTTTTTAGATCTCGTGTGAAGTCGAAATATCTTGGCGCGACTAAATCCTTCATATTTAATGGAATCAGTGTTGATGACCCTGACATTATTTGCGAACAATTCAGCCAGCATTTCTCGCAGTGCTACAACACTGGAACTGAAACCTCTACCAATACATTTCCAATGGTGACATCCATAAATCTTTCCAAAATCGATTTCGCATCCACCAACATCAAGTAGACCAAAGCTGTTCTGGAAAAGTCTTATGAAGGTGGAATTGACGGGATTCCTTCATCATTTGTGAAATATGTTAGTACAGAATTTTCATTATATTGTCCAAAATGGTTCAACCTATTTATGGAATATGGGACCTAACCATCTGTATGGAAAACATCTCCCCCCTAGATTTAAAATAGGATCACTTGGTGATATGGTTTACTATAGGCCAATTAATTTGACATCCGTGCTATCAAGAACCATGAAAAAATCATCTACCAACAGCTTTTATAACTGTTACTTTCAGCTAGTCTGATTAGTCCATGTCAACACGGGTTTATGAGTAAACTCTAATGCTTGACATCGCACCTGGAATTTTTCAATCAAATTACCCAGGGGAGAGATGTTAGTCAGTCAGTGATAATTCTGTACTTCGATTTTAGTATAGCTTTCGAAAGTGCCACACAAAATTCTTCAAAATCTTTCTTCATTTGGCATACGGAATCCCCCATTATATTGGCTCAATTCTTTTTTGGCAGAACATAGCCAAATCGTCCGCTTTGGATCTTGCTACTCTAAGCCTGTGAATTTAACCAGTCGGTTATGTAAGGAACTGTAATTGGTCCATTGCTCTTCCCCCCCTTATGTCAGTATGGTAAACTATTTTTTGACAATGACTAAAAAGTGGTAAACTGGTTCTCATCTCCCACCGAAGGAGCTATATTTCAGCTTTTTCAGATTTTTACACTAAGTTTTCGAGAAAGAAGAAGCAGGAACAATGTGGTGTGTTGTACAGATCATTGAGACTACTTGCAACCAACGATTTTTCTTTATGTTTTCAAACATGCTAGAAAAACTAAAATAGTACAATAGGCAGGCCAAAAATGTGAAATATCATGATAGGTAATTGTGTTTGATGTAATATATGTAGTAGAAATTCCCATATGTATACAAAACATATTATCCAGGCAACGAATGGACTGATGAACAGAGGCAGTTAAAGGGCTGTGGATGAATGTTATTTTACTGTATTGCAAATAGAATTGGTTGAGTGATAACTAATCATTCATAATTTTAAAAAAATATCGCAAGTATCCATGAAAAATACAGACTTCTAGCTCTAATATTCAATTGTATTCTACACTTGAGCCTTACCAAAGTCGTACTGCCGCATCACTAGTGGAGGACGACTTTGGTAAGGCTCAAGTGTTCTCAAACTACTTTAGTAATGTATACACCATAGAAGCACCCTTCCCGTCAGCGCATACAGATCCCCCAACACATACACTGGATAGCGTGACCATTAAAGAACTCGATGTCTTTGGTCCACTAAATAAGCTTGATATAGGTTAATCCACGGGGCCCGATGAATTACATCTTAGGCTACTGAAGGAATTATCTAACTTCGTTGCGAACCCTTCAAGTATATGCTTTAACCTATCCGTAGCGCAGGGTCGTTTACCAAAAGACTGGAAGAACGCCATAGTAAGCCCTGTTTTCAAAACAGGTAAGAAGCACAAACCTGAGAATTACCGTCCCGTTAGCCTAACTAGTGTGGTTGTTAAAATCTTAGAAAAGATTATTCGGAAGGAGCTGTTTAAGTATCTCGATAAAAACCGGATTCTCTCGGAGAAGCAGCACGGCTTCAGAATAGGTTATTCTTGTCTCACTAACTTATTAGTGGCTCGTGAAAGCTGGTGCGCTCTTAAGGACCAAAAGCTACCTGTAGACGTCGCCTTCATTGATTTCAGTAAAGCTTTTGACAAAGTTCCGCACAACCGGCTGTTATATAAGTTAAGAAAAGTCGGAATTGGAGGCAATTTATTGATGCGGATAAAAGACTTCTTAGTTGGGCGTCAACAAAGAGTAAGGGTGAACTCAAAGTTATCTGGCTGGGGAACTGTGCTTAGTGGAGTGCCCCAGGGTACAGTTTTGGGGCCAGTGCTATTCCTCTTGTATGTAAATGACCTTCCTTGTCTTCTATCATCATCGGTCTTGCTATATGCTGACAATGTCAAGATATGGAAAACGATACGATGTAAGAGTGATAGCTTAGAACTTCAAAATGACCAGAAGAAGTTATCTGAATGGTCTCAAACATGACAGTTGCCGATGAATACTTCCAAGTGTGTTGTGATGCATATCGGTCATCAAGGCACAGATACATACACGATGAATAACACTGAGCTACCTGTCGCCCAGACATATAATGACTTAGGAATTATTGTTAGTCAAGACTTAAAGACTACTGCACACTGACGTGCAATAGCCACCAAAAATTTTAGAACCTTATGGTCAGTACGTAGGGCTTTTAGTCATGTCGACGCCAAAACGTTTTTAACTTTGTATACAGTGTTCGTTCGTCCTAAACTTGAGTACTGCATACAAGCGGCTAGCCCCTGTTTAAAAAAGACAGTGAGTTTCTGGAAAAGGTTCAGAGAACGGCGACTAAGCTGATTCCCGGAATAGCGAAGCTTCCGTATGAATCTCGACTGGCCAAGCTGATCCTTTTCCCGTTGTCATATCGCAGAACTAGAGGCGACTTGATTGCAGTTTTCAAATTGCTTAGTGCCAAACTTGCACCTGATATGCCCTCATTCTCCTTGTCTTCAAAAACAGTGAACACTCCAAAAAAGTTCACAAGCCAAGAACAAATTACTTGTCAGCTGACTATGGAATTTACCATCGAATCATCAACGAGTGGAACTCATTACCTCAGCACGTGGTTGAGGCTCCATCCGTCGACTCTTTCAAAAGAAAGTTGGATCAACTGAAAGACCACCATTACCAGGACTAACACAGACCATCAAGCCTCTTGTCCTTTCAAAATTGAAACTGAAAGTGAAACAATGTACACAATTTTAGTAAGGCATTCAGGAAGCTCATAAAAAGCATACAGAAAAAATAAAATGAATTCTTGAACCCATGCTTTTAAATTGAAAGTGTGAAATAGTTTCTTTCACTTTTGTTGTTTAAACCAACCAACAGGAAAATTTCATTACTGGTCCTATTATGAATGCGTCTCTATAAGAGCTGTTCCAAATGGATGATACAAAGATTATATATCACATAGATGACGAAGAGACCCCCTATTTAGTTAAAATTGCCGTGTGTCCGAGCGCTGTTACCTTAGGGGACTTTAAAAATGCTCTAAACCGACCAAATTACAAGTTTTTCTTCAAATCAGTTGATGCTGATTTTGGGTGCGTTCCTTGTAAAGACTAATTGTTATGTTTCTTATAAAGAGTCGTGAAAGAAGAAATAGCGGATGATGATGCAAGATTACCATGTTTCAATGGAAAAGTTATTTCATGGGTATTCACAGTCATATATTTTCATGTTTGTCAGCTTGTTTCTGCAGATAGTAGTACAAAATCAGATAACCATTCAAACGGCGCAGGTGAAAACCACCTTTCCAGTCAAAATAAAAATTCAACAAAGTGAGTTTTGTTTAAAGTGAAGTAAAACAACAAACTACATGCAAACCTCTGGGTTTCGGGGAATTCTCGTCTTTCCCAAAGTCGTTTGAAAATTCTTAGTTTTCCAGGAAGTCTGGGCAAGCATTGATGGGAACCCAAATTTTTCACAAAGATCTTGCAGAGTTTTTCCGAATACTTCGAAATTTCGAGGTTTTTGTCGCATTCCTTCAAAATTTCCTACTACAGCTTCCCCAAGATTTTCCTGAAATCAGGAAATTGAGATGTTTGTTGTCAGCAGCGGGTGACATTTACTTATTGGAGTTCACTTCCTTCAACTAAAGAAACGAGGTTTCGTAGATTTACACTCCTGGTTCTAGCTTCTCTTACTTTGAAGGTTCTTTGGAAATTGCCAAAGAAAAAGCTCAAGGGTCGAATTTTTTGTTTTAGACCGTATTATGTGCTTCTCTTTGCCTTGAGAATACATTAGCAGCTAGAGGCTGCAAGACATTTGAAGCAACGTCATGTTAATAGTAAACTGATTGGCTTAAATTTAATATTGATTGAGTAATCAAACGAATCTATTAGTAGTTCGATTTAACAGATATAGTTAAATCATGGAGTAGTTATGTACTGGTTTTGATCGCAGCAAATATATCACCCTCCTGATGTACGGAAGTTTGATGTCAGAGCATTTTATGCGAAGCATAAGCATTGCCAGCACTGCGATATGCCTATTATCTGCACAAAAAATTAGCTTGCCGTCAACAAAACCTAACAACTCAACTGTTATGTTTATCTTTGGTGAGAACGAATCCTCGAAATATTGACTTTTGTCTATGCTATATATATATATATATATATATATATATATATATATATATATAAACTTCTGGGAATAAATTTATGCCACAATTAATGTTGCTTTGATAGCGATCATTATATTTGACACAGTTTGGCTAATTATTCTCACGAAGATCGTAGAACCGAAACTTGGAAGCAATACGTTTTACTGACGAAAATAAAGTGCTTTTATCAAATTTATAAGAACCCCCGTAGCATTTGCTCTTTAATATGAAAAAACTATATATTTTCCACTTATGTTTGGGTAGTAAATAGTTCATTGGGTCGCATACCAAACACGTGCACAAAGTTTTTAACGTTGGTATCCGGAAAATATAGAGATAGCTTTCCTACCTCACATATGTTACAGTCGTCGCTGTAAGATGTATACTGACTTTTAACAAGCCTTAATATTGTTTTATTTTCCTCTACTTACTGTTTTGTGGCTTGGACCGTGCCTTAAACTATTTTCTACATAATATTCTAAGTGGTAAACCGTGAGCTAATCAAAAGAAAATCATTAACGCGTTCCATTTTAGACTACCTAAAGGACCTATTTTAATATGAGTTATTTTTTGCCGTTTTGCTACATTGACCTAAGGTAATACAAAAGTGTTTGGTATTTCGACAAATGTGTTTTGCATTCTGTCGTCTCTTATAATAAAGAAATTATTCTATTTCAGCTTCAACAAAACTCCCGACAATATACACAGTGCCTCGAAAAATGAAATCCCCAGTGAACAAGAACATGCCATTGGGACAACAGGGCATGGTCTTGAGGAATGTGATACTTGTGTCGAGACAGACTCAGTGTATAGCGGTGGTTAGTGACGTAGAATTTTCAGTTTTGTTTAATTATAATTTTGTTGACATTTCATCTGTAATATTTATTTGCACTAGTTCTAGCAACTAGACTTTCGTTAAATTGGTATCACTTAATTTATTGGTCAGGTGTATCACATCAAAAACCATTCAGCTAGGTTTCTTATCTTTATTCCTCTGTTTTTGATCGGGCCCTAGCCAAAATGGTGTTGGCCCTTAAGGAAAAATGTACATTTCAGTATGCATTGCAAATGTATCTTCCAGGATAAGGGGCTGTGTAATACATGGACTGATGTGTAACCGTCGACACACCAAATTTATTTCGTTTTCCCTAAAATACATCTTGTGATATTTTATCAAAAGTACATAATTTATTTCTGTTATCTAGTAAGTAGGAGTACGAACTTCTGTTTGAACTGTAAATACAATAAAGGTTGAAATCAACCATGCTTTCTTATGTAAGCTTGACTTCTGATAATTTACTACATGTTTAATGGGGGTAGTTCTCAATATTTCATGATATTTAGAACTGGTTGGTTTTGTAATCTAATTTAACAATAAGCTTAAGTGTTCATTAAATTTTTAAAGGTAATTTCCTGTAAATGTGTTTAAACCTGTCTTAAGTTTACTTTTATTTTTAATAGATCGGGTTCCTCCTCTGAAAAATTTTCATAATTACAAGCATGGTAAGCGATAAAATTTTAGCCCAGGTTGTAATATAAGTGCTTCTTAATTTGCTTTTTGTCCCACAGGAAACAGTCAGTGGTAAGCCACTAAGTTTATATCTCAAAATAATGAGAATCATCACTCCAGTTTTTGCCTACTAATCACTAAAACTAGTTCAGTTGGCCAAACTTCAGATTTTCTCTTAAATTTATGCAACTCATTAAAATGCCTAGGATCATGGATATTGGCTTACGTTAAGTCTAAATAAGGATATAGCTTATTTGTGTGAATAGAACTGTTAGAAATTATGCCTCATGTTTTAATGTCATTTTGTATTTAGGTCAGTTAACCACATAGCCTATATAGCCCTCATAGGACTCCCCAAATTCTAAGATATGGACATGTGGTCACATGGTAAGTTGTACATTCATTCATATCATTGGCTGTGAATAGTAAGCACATACTTTTGTTGAAAGAGTTATTTTAGTTCTCGACATATTATTAGGCGACTTCAAAAAAGGTCTCAGATTTCTTACCGGTCACACAACTGTTGTAATGTTGACATAGTACGTCTAATAGTCTGTATAAATGTATAATTGTTGAGCATAATCTCATTCCAGTTATATACATATTCATAAACTTAAAAGCTTTATAAATCTGTTGTGGTATTTGGTATCCTTGAGACAATGCTTTATTTCTAAAATCTTCGTTTCTTCTCAGGTTCGCGCTTGGCTAAACTTGGTCAAAGAATCCAAAACTATGAAACATCTTCATCCATGATGAGTTCAGATCTGGAATCCACAAGCTTTTTTGATTCAGAAGACGAATCAAGCAGGTGTGTCAGCTTAATTTAAAAGGGGTTAGAAACAACTTCACTAGATCTCCAGCTAAGCAATAAATACACCTTTGCGTTACGGTTGGAAAACATTTTTTGGTAAATTACTTCGGCTTAGGTTCCTGAACAAGCATCAAACTCCTGGCTAGTCTTATTATTATACATAATAGCAGTCACTTTCGGAAGATATATTTAATGTAGTGGAAGTTCTTAACTCAAGATGAAGATTGTTGTCGTTTATCATTCTTTGAGTTTTCCAGTTGTTTAGATTACATCTAGTTTTTGTAAATATATGTGTGAAATCTTCCTTCACTACTGGGTACAGGTTTGTGCAATTGAGATCCTTTTTATTTGTTGGTTTGTTTGACCTTGATTTTCGTTGTTTTATACAGGAGAAATAGGTCTCGTTAGTGGTAATGGTTAGTCTGTCATTTACATAATGACAGTTTATTGGGTCAAACAATCCTTACCTCTATTCGGTTGGCGGAATTTTTTAAGCAGCGTACATATTCCACAACTATGTATCTTTTGAAAGGCGTCTCATCTAAATACTATGGTTTTTAAGGATTTGCGGTTTTTCGAATCCTCTTGTTATGTTTTTTATATCATCCTCCATAGAAATGGCGATTATAAACCTCTATGTACATTTAGATCAGTGACGCTAGTTGACTGCTAAATCAAAAGCTCATCGATGTATCCGACAACTCGGTTAATCGGACTGATGGTGCAGCTGACTTACTGTTGGTTTTGTATATATTTATTTTCCTTACCTGTATCATTGTAAATTTTTTTTAGGCATATCTTCTAGCTGTCTCACTGTTTTTTATTACTTTCATATAAAATCTGCTTGGAGCTAATTGGATTATTCTAGATGTTCTTGATATGTTGAATAAATGATGTTTTTTCGGATGTTAACGTGACTTTTGCTTTTTCTGTCGGTAATTAAATGATAAGGCTAACTGGGATACTCGTTAACTATGAATATTTCATTAATGTGGTTCATTTAACTCAATCAAAGTGACCACACAAGCCTTACATGACATTTTTATAAGCTATTGAGTTGTTACTTTTGTGCCTCAGTTATGGTCTTCTCATGCTTTATCTTTGTATGTGCTGAAGTTCATAAGTTTTCATCATGTGCTTTGTTAGAAAAGAGATTTGAGAACGCCATCACATCATAGTACTCTACTTCTGTGCATTTAATTGAGTTTAAAAAGTATGGTTGACATTTAGATCAAAGTTTAGGTTCAGTAATTGCATTCATTATGAATTGTAGCACTCAAATCAATATTATATAGAATGGATGAAATGTGGCTAGGCGTGGAATCCAGAACGCCTGTTTCGTTCTACTTGAGACTTTTCAGATGGTCAAATTTCAGTCAAAAAATGTCAAAAAGAGGATAATCTAAACCATTTAAAATCAAGTTGATACACATCAGTTTTTCTGTTACTGACATACCCATAGTACTTCGTTTATCCTTCATTTTCGAATCAAAAACTGCTTAGTTCTCTTAAATTTCGTGTGTTTCTGAACATCATGATTGTCGTTCAGACTACCCGTTTTTTTCTTTGGCTATATTATGAATCTGATAGTATTCAAAAAGGCAGCTACATTACATGATATATTTTTACTGTCATCGTTTATTTGAGGTATTCTGTTACCAAAGCAAAATCTTTTAATTGATTGTATGGATTATTATCAACAACTGTGTATCTTGAGAGTTACACACGATTCTTTCGATAAGTTGAATTGTAACATCTCCGTCTATGCTATTATTTGACGCGGCGAAATATGTTTCCCATTCAATATTTGACCGTGATGCCTTGCTAGATTTACCCCACTTTTCTTCAATACACCAACTTCTGTTTTAACTAACTTTTAATTTCCTCGATTCAGTTTAAATGTGACTATTTTGACGTTTGGCTAGATTTCTGCCTTATTCACCAATAAGTTCATAATTCATTAATTCTTGTCCTTTTTTGTCGTTTCCTGTTCTGTTCAAAGTGGCTGTTCTTTTCTTACCTGCCTCCTCTCAACACCAGTGATCTTACTATCCTTTGATGTAGGTTCGATAGTTTGAATATGATTATAATGTAAATCATTGAAATTTCCACCCTTTATAATATTAATTCTAAAAGTGGTATTATCAAGACACTAACATTATAAGCGACAAATATTCTTCATTAATTTTTCAATTTAAAATTAATGGCTTATGAGAAGTGTTATTTAAAAATGTTTCCGAATTTAGTAATTGTAGCGCAATACTTGTAATGTTTAGTGATTTATCAGTGTCAGTTTTGTCATGTTTTAAGTTTTCGTCTTTGCTTTTCTTAACTTTTCTGTGTAGATTTTCAACAGCAACAGGTACAACTATGTCTTCAGCTAAATATCCAAGACATAGAAGACAACGAAGACACAGACGAATTCTTCCAATAAGACGTACCAGTGAAGATGTAAGTTCCATAGTTTTATCATCGCAAGTTTATATTTGAACTACATAGAAACAAAATAACAATTTCCTCACTTCAGTTTTACCTTTACACCGAACGTATCAGTCTTTATAACCTGAAAAACAACACTGTTCATTAAATTATTGCTAGGTTTTTTTGATTAACCTAAGGCACTTTTTACTCACGCCATTCAGTAAGTAGTACCTTTTTAAGGTAAACAAAGTGTTTGATAATTGTATCATTGAAAACTAACTACTATTTGTTTATTGGTCTAGTTTATTCCCTTTTACAACCGTATACACCACTTAGTTGAAGCTTACTTTAAAATATTCATCGAATGAGACTCAAGTACATTAACTATTAGTACATAAATACGAAAATAAGAAAAATTGGAATTATCGCAAGTGAGGCTGATATAGGTATCTCTATATTACAAAAAAATGCAGGTAAATAATGAGCTTAAATTGATTTTGATAATCTGTCGATTCATGTGATTAATATCTTAAAACTATCTACAGTTTCTGCGTGTCAGTGACAATCATCGTAATCATCCTCTTCCAAACCCCTTACGTTTTCACATTTCATTGTATAACAAAATCAATCAATAACAGAGTGGTATTGATATCATAAAGTCTTCTAATGTTAATTGATAGTTAATTAATTTGCCATGCAATACATATGCAGAAAATTGTTTACCATCATCATCATTATCATATTCAATTTTTTTTATTTCTATCTGATGAATGAATGTATGTTTATAGATTGGCTGTCATCTCTGTCATTCCAAAAATATTTATCTCATTCCTATATGCATTTTTCTCTTGTATCTCTGCTGTATTCTACAGTTTTATTTTTCACTGATCAGAAATTTTTTAAAAAATGTCATAGAATTTGTTTTTTTCCTATTGTCGAAACCTATTTTTATGTAGATCCATCGTCTACTACTGACATTTCAATAATATGTAAATATGTCATTCATTTGCATTCTGACATTTTCTACTTTTGATCAATAATCTTACAGTGTTCCATTTATATATATATATATATATATATATATGCATATACAATACAGACAGATTTGAAAGGTTTTTCTCTTATATCTTGACTAAAGTGACTTCAATTAAGGTATATTTCATGTACATTAAATCATTACTATTGGTAAATAGAAATTATAATGAAAGATGAAATTTAAAAAAAACAGTGATTGTGTACAGTAAATTTAAAACGAAGATGTTACAACTCAACTCAAGCTAACCACTCTTATGAATAACTAATATACCATTTAACATATATCTAAGTCATGAAGTCTATCTTCCGGTTTAACTTATGTTATGATTTATGTTTAGCGCGAGTGTCACTCCCATTATATTTCTTGGGTTTCCAAAAAAATACTCCAATAAATAATTTTCCCTCAAGTATACTTGTTAAAAATCAAGTTTCTTCACTCTCCTCAGTCTTTAATTTGGCGTCTTGTTTCGGCTTGCTTCCTATAGAATTACAAAATAATGTTTTTATTTTTTAAAAGTTAAATTAATGAATTACTGAATAATTATTTTACGCTAAAAATTGTGACCTCTAATAATGAACATAATAGCAACGGAAATACCAACTTCACAGTCGCGTATAATTGACTGGGCCTTCGTACATACACACTAGGCTGAGTATCAAGTGAAAGAATAGAGTTTCCTTTTTTCTGATTTTTTAAATGACAGTGCACGATTTTTAATCATTTCGATAGGACTCTTATATGCTGAATATGGAAATATTTTTAAAAATATACTTTTAAAAGTTCTCGATGTATATTTCTTGTTGTTAGTATGGGAATTTGTGGAGATTGTGGTATTTTAACGGTTGAATTTACGAGTCGATCTGGACCAGACCACCATTGAAAACCTGGAAGCACTGGACGACCAAAGATCCTGGGTTCGAAATCCACATGCGGGATCGTGGATGTGCACTAGTGAAGAGTCTTATACTAGATTAAAAGGGCCGTCTAGTGCTTCCAGGTTTCCATTGGTGGTCTAGCTTAGATTAACTCGTGAATTCAATTATTTCTTGTTAGTTGCCAACTGTTTACTGATGATAATTCTACTTGGGATGAAATAATTGAGGATTTAACAAAAAAAACGTTGAGTGTTTTGTACTTTAAGCTATTCAAGTAACGGTTTGTGTTAAATACCCTCAGAAATAGTTTACATGTCTCTCATTTTTCGCTTTAAAAATTATGTGGCGGATACTTTTGTTAGCAGTTTATTCGGTTGTACAAAAATCATAGTCAAGTAAAACTGGATACTTTTTCGTAAATAATGACTCATATTTGTAAAAGTGCAATCGATTGAAGCTTGTAGGTAACAAATACCATATTTGTTACTTGCACTAAAACGGCATGAACCGTTAAGTGTCTAATATTAGAATATAAACTATAATCTGAATGTCTTATGTCTATAATTGTCTTATCTTTTTATTTCGATTAGTAATATCCTAGAGGATTTAGTAAAAACTATGGGACTTAAACTTTATTTGAGTTGTAGTTTTTGCATAGTTATTTATTGCTTTTCCCCATATCCATATGGTATGAGTAGTAGTTGTCATAGTATGATCGATCATTACTTTAGAATTGCTGACATTTTTATGTATAATAAACATATTGTAAGTATTCAAACAACTAGGAATGTATCAACCTAGAAATGACAGACTGAGAAAATGTTTGAGGCTTCACATTTTCATTATTTATGTCTGCTCTATCACGTAATATATCCAGCTTCCGGATGATTAATCTTACCAGATTTGTATCGTTTACGTCTAGTTCTACTTTTTTTTGCTTTGGGGAAGCTGTCTAGACGTTTTTTCTATGCTGATTTATGGATAGAATTTTATCCTATCGTGATGTCAACTGTTTTAAACAGAGAACCGGAGAGTCAAAATATTTGGTCACATCTATCTGTGTTTTTTCTACTGCAAAGAGAATAACTAGATTTCCTGAGTAAACTAAATTCGGTTTCCTATTTTCTTAATTTTCACCGGTTACACAATATTTGAAATATCGATTTTCTAGAGTAATTCAGTAAAATGACACACCTTAGCTGTAAAAAAGATAAAATGATAATTCAGAAGTGTTTACAGATTACATTGGTCAGGTTAGGAAATCCAGAAAGGAAAGCTACATGCAGTTACGGGTGTTGTGTTGTGTTGTGCGTTATCTGATTCGGATACTCATATAGAAGCTTCCAATACACAACTCCAACTGGTTGCTTGAATAAGAAGGAAACTCTACTGGCTTAACCAAATCGAGAGATATTTGTGCACTCATTCATTCATTCATATATATATTTCAATGCTTTGGTTTCTCTATCTTGTTTAGGAAATATTTTAAGATTTTTTTCTGTTACTTGTTCGTTAAATGTAGTTGTACATTTTAATAATTATCCTGTATACTTATATTACTCACATGCCAAGGGTTAATTTCAGTCTATCATGCCCATCATAAGCTGAGAATGATGTTCAACATGTTTATTTATTGTGTGTTTATAATTAATTTGATTTAATTCCCATCTATTGTCGACTTTTTCCCTAGATATTATGAGGGTCAATTTCACGAAGCTCGGTTACATGATTTTTTTCTTTTCATTCAATTTAGGCTACTTCTTTTAGCAGTGTAACCGATTCCACAATGTCTCTCAATATAATTACCGTCACTTTGAATATGGATTCAGTGAATTTTCTTGGAATCAGTATCGTTGGTCAATCCAACAAAGCAGGAGATGGTGGTATCTACGTAGGATCTATTATGCGTGGTGGAGCTGTTGCACAAGATGGTCGAATAGAACCTGGAGATATGATACTAGAAGTAAATAGAATCAGCTTCGAAGATATGAGTAATGATGAGGCTGTAAGAGTTTTACGTGAGGAAGTTCAAAAGCCTGGGTAATTCACGGCATATTTACTATTTGTTCAGTTATCTATTATTTATACTTATTTTCTCACCATACGTTTAAAAGTAAACTTCAAGAGAATCATAATAAGGCAAATACCATAACAATGAATGACCATCATAGTTTTCTTATAGGAGTCAAAGTTTTTTGCATCATAAACTGATATTTGATGATTAACCACTTGCTAAGAAAATCATAGGTTATCCATTTTGTCAGTGCATGAAAATTTCTTTGTAATAACGATAACTACGAGTACAATTTTTCTAAATCATACTTTCGTTTTTTTCTGATTGGCTGTTACTACTTTCAGTATGCGCTAGGGTCATGCTTTTGTTACCCTATATATGCGGAATTTCGCTATTTTGTTCGCTTAACCATCACGTTTTCCGGCACTCTCACCTCCCTGTGTTCCTTCGTAATCGTGGATTATTGTTGAAGTATGGTGTATCAGCTATCATTCTATTGAGTCCGCCATAGAATCTATTCGTAGTAGAATAAACTCGATTTTAACGATCACCATTGGACCATATCAAACTTCAATCTCAAGATATAACACCACAAAAAGCCAAGTAGCATTTTATGTCAATGTTCAGGAAATTGGTAATATAGCGTAATCGTTTTTTCTGTCATTAGTACCACGCTGAATATAGTGAATTAGCTCTAAACCCTGTTAGTCAAGTTAAATTTCATCTTGACCAAGTGGTATCGGCGTTTTGCATTCATGGAAGGAAACTTCAACTGATCGATCAAAGTTTACTTTATATAAGTGATTCATATAATTTACGTTTTACGTCTTTTTTGTCCTGTGTAGCAGTCCAGTTGTTGTGTTAGCTTTAACTAACCGCTCATACACAAATAATGGTGATCAGTTTACGTTTGCATACAAGGTTTTCTTCTATTCCTTCAGACACTGTATTTTTTCTGTACCTACTGTGTAATTTACTTCAACTATATATATCTTTTTCAAACACGATACTGTAATATTATTGAATCATAGTTTGAGCCTAACTAGTTAGGACACGTAAAATGTTCTCCTTAATACATTAGATTTTTCTAAAATTTAACTTTAATTACTATAAAATGTGAAATATAGTTTCATCAAAAAGAGACAATAATCTAAATCAATGAACAATAAGTGCATACTGATGAGTGATTATGAGTAACAGTCATATTTAGAAGAAGAGTACAGTTTCCATTGATTAATAGTTAAATCAGGATAGGCCATAAGAATGGTGGGCGTTCAAACCAATATATGATTTGCCAGTTTAATTATAAACAATAATAAATCTTAAATCCTCGACGTTTTATGATCGCAAAAACAACTCTAATGAAATTCTTTCTTGTAATTCAGTAATCAAGGATCATATATTTGCCTTTGTGCGATATCTAGTAATATTGTGGTGAAGGAGAACACAAATGAGGACAACCGTCTATATTTAGCACAAAATTACAGAACAACTTGATAAAATAGAAAAACCAAACTCCCATAATTTATTTGTAGGATGTTCATTAATTGTCTCAGACTTCATTGTCCCTGTATTTCCATACCAATTGCTTTCTGTTCCCGTTCTTCCTCCTCGATATTCTTAACCATCTGCTGCAAACATTCTATTTCTGACTAGCGTTATATACTACTTATGTAGCACACACCACACTATTACTCAGTTGATCAAATGGGAATATGTAGGGGGGACTCGAAGCTGCAACTCAGCGGTTGAATTCCAAATAATTCATGAATCACTAATCATTAAATTCAATGGTTAATTATGGATTAAATTAGCACATAACAGGGACACTTACCAACCATGATCTTGGTGTGCCTTCCGGTATGACAAAGTATAAAATTATACCATTATCGCAGTACTATTGTGTTTTTATTTGTCAAGTGATTGAGGAATCAAGCCGTTGAAAAAAATCCAGTTTGTTACAGTAAAACATAGACGAATTTATTCTATACACGTTTCCCATATATATTCATCTCAAGTTATGTATAACATAAAAATGAGAAACATTTTTTAAGTCGATGCTTTTTATGTTCAGACCTTTAATATTATTAATGACAGTTGAATAATTGAGTAGTTAAGTTACTGATATTAAGATAAACAAACTATTAATCTTAGCAATCAAATATATTTGATAATGTTACTGGTTTCAAAATGATTGTCCGATTAAAATCAGTTTATAATGTTGTGAACTATGAAAATTTTAATATTTTCACAAAACCTGTATATTAGTTACTGTAGCTCAAACAAAAGTCCTTTTAACAACAAGGTTTAGTCAGCCAGTCAGCTACAACGTAGGACCAGACACATATATGCATTGGTCCAAGTTGCCACACCTCATTAGCACAAAAAGATGAACACCAAATTCACAGTAACTTCAATGGTAGTGATATATAAAACAACGAATGCATATAAGGATATAATACAGGAAGAAATAATTAGTTTGTAGAAAGAAAGGTATATAGTAATTTTAATCTCACGGTGTAAGGGAATACAAAGAGTGTATACACCTACGCCATTGTGATCGGTTATGATCCATGTCACCAAGAGTCTCCAACCATTAGATGCGATAGTCATACGGAACCCAACCAAGTAGTTTGTATCTACCAACATGGCTCAGACCAGAAGTTAGTGACTTCAAGCACTGATTCCACGTTTTGGTTTGGCCGCCCCTAACTTTCTTCCTAAACCCCCCAACACTAGTCAGCATTTCGCGTCGTGGTAATGGGTGTTGAAGCATACAACACGATTACGTAAATATTAATTTCTTTCCTTCAGATAACAATGATAACTTTACTTTTTTGTTTGTTGTTATTATTAATTACTACGTAATAAAACCAGTCGTAAGAATAATTCTTATTTAGGTTTTAACCGTTTGCACGAAACTGTGAACTTACAGTTTGCACCAAAAGGTACAATAGTTTGGTCAATTTACTTTTATTCTATAGGTTACGGATCCCAATCTTCACTTTTGTTTTATTTTAGGTAGCTTGGTAAGTTATAAGGAAGCCTCCCAATACGTTAAGGCTAAATACATAAGTATTTACTCTATATCAGAATTGCGTTGAGACTGATGAGTTCATGGATGAAAGTGGAAATATTCAGTGTTTAATGAAAGAAATATGATGTTATATATAGTCTTAAAGCTAATTAAAAAAGACAGAGCTTAATCATCTTTAGATTTTATGAACATACTGTTTATTTATATGTATTCCAATTCTTTTTTTTCTATATCGGGGTCATCCTTCCATTAAGAAATGTATTTACTTGTAAAATTTATCCAAAATGACAAGTCAGTTGGTAAAGTTGTAAGCCTGTACCGACTGGTTTGTTTATAAGGTGTTGTAGATATTCGTAGCTTGGAAGAAAGAGAGTAGTCATTAGGTCTGCGACCATCGATCCAGGCTATGTGGGAGAGGGAGACAAAATATATGCTTGTAATTCACAGAATTGTCGTAACCTGTGTTTGGGAACCTTAGGTCATATACCCCAAACCGGTTACGGTCCGCCATTTTCAGTCATGTTTTATCTTCAAAATATTAAGCTTAGAGTCATTTCACACTGTTATTTATTTTTAAATCTCACTTGTTGATTCCAAACTTGATTTATTATGATCAGGTTTCCACTATGTTTCTTGGATGTTATTGTTTCAAACCTGTTGAATACCTGCTACGCTACGTAAAACTAGTGAACAAAATTATTCATTATTTCGAATATAGAAGAACTACTTAATCTCAGGGTATTCATTTACTATAATAATGTTAAACGAATCTTAAAATATTAAACATCTTTTCTTTAAATTTTTATATGTAAACGCATCTACAGAATACAGAATGTTTCCTCTTTTAAAGCTTTGAAAATTCTCCTACCTGCATTTCACCATAGTAAATATTTATAAGCTTTCCTTGAGCAACGTTTTTCGTACCTAAGTAAGAAATGAATAAACAAGGATCATATATTTTACTGAAGAATCTAGCACTCTTAAATTTCTCTTCTAAGTGTTACACAATAAACTTTAGAAACTGATTATGAGATATTGAAGTGTGTTTAATTCTTTTGTTTTTAGTAGTTTTGAGTTCTCTGATCGGTTAATAGGCTGTCTAGAACAACACTGAAAGCTCTATAATTAAAAAGGTTTTCTCGGAGAGCTTAACATTACCCAAAGCAATCACCTGAAGTACACAGTCTCCCCATGTATCCATATGCTTCTACACTTTGTCAAACAATTTTAAGCTATTTTCATAAACATAACTTTAGTATTCTTTTTTAGCTACCTTCTGGCGGTGTTTTCAGAAATCTGATCTATTTACGTGAATAAAATTCTGAAGTACTTTCTGTTTACAACTAAACAAATTAAAATATATTACTTTAATTTTTACTTCACAGTCCTATCACTTTAGTAGTGGCAAAATGTTGGGATCCCAGTCCAAAGAACTACTTCACAATTCCTCGTCAAGAACCAGTTCGCCCAATTGATCCTCGGGCTTGGGTCTTACATACAAATGCGATGACTGGAGCACTTGGAACACCCGGATTTGATGGAAATACACCTTTTTTTGGTTCAGGATCACCTGCTACTGGAATGGCAATGATTCCTGGTGAGAAATGTTCCCTTACTTTGTCTTGCATTAGCAGTATTTTGTTTCAGTGATTATTTTGTGTTTTCACGAGTCGGTTTAGATTTGGTACCCAAAAAATTAAATCCCGTTCTTTTGGTTTTGTGCAATCTAATCTTTTATCAAGTCACTCTGAAGGCGATGAATTTTTTTAGTTAGGGATACGGATATAGGCTATACGGCGATAACTGCAACTACCATACACAATAGCTCTACTTCAAAAGAGCATTCTTGTTAGAAAGATTTGTCGGACAATGTCAAAGAAGATCGATTCTACATCCAAGCTAATTGAGCTATACATCATTTCGATGATTATCAATTGGGGAGTTTTATTAACTGAGTAATTGTTACTAAATAAAAAAAATCGTAGTAAAATAATCAGTACAGGAAAAATTCATTGGGAGTCAAACAACTAAATAAAACCGATATTGCACTGAAACTCAGTGTATCAAAATTACAGAAATGAGTTAAAATTCATTGAATAAAAATCACCTTAAATAGATATACGAAATTATGGTTGCATTTCGTCCTCATATGTTGAATCTGTGCATACAGTATCTCCAGCAATCGGACCCGAACCTCAACTAGTGAGAGAGTTGGTGACCAACCTCAAAATCTTGGATAAAAAAGTCAAGTAGAGTTTAGTATCTTCCTCAGAGAATGGAAGATGGTCTCGCAATTTCGTGGATTGGTTGGAGTTAGACATAAACACCGTTGGATGCTGGCTCAGTTGTCTAGAGGTTGGGCGTTTGCGTGCAAGGTCCTGGGTTCAAATCCCGCGCGCGGGATCGCGGATGCACACTACCGAGGAGTCCCATACTAGAACAATACATCCGTCCAGTGCTTTCAGTGGTAGTCTAACGTTGATCGGTTCATGATCTCAATTAAAAAAATCATAATCTATGCGGTCACACTAATGAAATGATTATTGGTGACGACATTATATTTTCTATATCGATAAATCAAATTATTAGCTACTAGTCTTGGAAATGTAATAGCTGTTGCTTAAAGAGACATTGAAAGCCTCGCGATCAACCCGAAACGGCATCACTAAAATTCCTCTGCTGAGCTGCAAACCACCATCTCCTTCCCCAGTTTATTAATTACCGGTCTATATTTCTATGGTACGTGTTTATGTTCGAGTTCTCATGTTTTAATCTATTCATTTACCTTTTAGGCCATTTTATGGGTATGACTCCATCCTCTGGATTGTCCGTACCATCTATGCCTCCTGGTATGCCTCCTTTAATTTTACCACCTTCAATGGCTGGAATCAATGCAATACCTTCATCTAATATGACTACTAAATCATTACCAGAAGTTGCTGATGGTGATGGTTTAACTGGTGGGTATCATCGCAGTAGAGGTCCTGCAAGTAGTGGAGTTGTTGGTGGGCCAGGAAGTACGAAAACTAACGGTTCCCGATCAGGAGGTGAGACAACTGTCGATGCTAAAGGTACTCAGTCACTTCTGTCTGGTGCGAATGGCAAATCATCCACATCATTAACTGTAGCTTCTGATATGGCTTCTGTAGTTCATGATATGTTGATGTCTGATTCTGGTCTAGAAATACGTGATCGAACGTGGCTGAAAATAACCATCCAAATGCTTTTATTGGTGAGTTCCATTCACTTATTTGTGACTTGTGTACACTTGTATTACATAGATTTATTTGTTTACCAATCAATACTTGCAAAGTTTGTGGATATTGGGAATTTTTTTTGGTGTCTCATTTGTATTCAAAATCACCTGTGTTTTTCTATTTTTCATGACCCTTAACCTGAGGTAATATATTTCAGTAAAAATGAAACTGTATGTATAAATGGTTAATCTAAACTTTTAATCGCACCCCGCATGGATGTTTGTTTGCAGGAAATAACTAGACAATTTGAAAATAGAACCTTCAGTCGTGTACGTTTCTCCTTATGTTTTGTTACTTATACGCTGTAACCTATTTCACATTAATACATCAAACCAATATTAGGATTGTTTCATCTAGGTAGAAATTCCATAGTTGACTGTTAAGTATTCGTCACAGATTTATCTCAGTTGGGGTGGCAATGAAAACCAAGGAGCACCGGACAGCTTTTAGTACGGGACTCCTTAATAGCGCATACTCATAGTCATGCCCCGGACCTAGGCTTTCAGGTCTCTGGACGAACGCTGAGCCAATATTTAGTGACTTGTTTAAAAGTTTTGTGTCCGAAATAGTGAGATTTTGGAAAAGTTTTTATCAGAGACGTGTAGATAAAGTTGTTTCAAAGCTGTCTTAAAAGTACTCACGTCTCTGTTTTCACATTATTTTCATCGACACTTAGAAATAAAAATGAGTAATTTTTATTTATTTATTTATTTATTCCGTAAAGTTGTTAAATCAAATTCTTTACTAACTCCCTCTTATTTATAATCTACTTCGCCAGTTTACTACAAAAGTATATATATATATATATATATATATATATATATATATATATATATATATATGACAGTTATACAGAATTGATTGAAACTTGTCTACTAAAGCGTTACTTTTAAGGACCAAAAACATATAAAATTATTTTTCTTATCATCATCTAATGCACTAATCTGTTTAATCTAGTAGAAACAAAGAACACAAATAAACGAAAGTATACGCCCTCCCGCCCCTATTTGATTAAAGACTAATAATATCCAGTCGAAAAAAAGTATTTTTTAAATTTTTAATTTGTTTTATTTCGTTTTTTCGATAAAATCAATCATTGTGTTTATGTAGTCAGTATTAATATTTTGTTTCTCTTTTTTACTTTTCATCCAGAAATATAAATTGTCTCGCTTGTAGATATTCTTGATTATTATAAATTTAAGGAGAGTAATAATGGTTTAGAATCGTTTTTCAAGTATTACATATCAATATATTTATTGGGCGAATCGTTCACATTTCTACTGTGGAGTTTTTCGTTAATAATTCTTCAGATATGTATTAGTTATCGATTACTCTAATTGTTTATTAAGTCTACGGTTAACATGTTTTTTTTTCGCTAGGGATTAACATAAATGTGAAGTTTCTAGGAAACTTGCTCACTTTTGTTCATTTTTCAGAGTCCCCCTCCCCCACCAAAATCCAATTCAACACGTTTTTGACATAAATACTATAATATCATAAATTACATGCTAGTTAATTAATGTGTATAAAGTGGCGAAAAAAAGCTCGACTCGTTATAACTTCCGTATAAAAATTTAACTTTGGTGTCAAAATGTTACTCAGGAAAAACATAAGTATATATATATATATATATATATATATATATATATATATATATATATATACATAAAGGATATCTGTAAGTAGTAAACATACATTCAGGGATGTAGTAATATAAAAACTAATTTTCACTTAACCTTTATGATATAGAAGAAGCAAACATAAAATCTAGCATATAAAATCTGTATTCTTTGAAGTTGAAAGGGTTTGGATTATCACCACAACATTTCTAAAATTGTTATACAAACTGCAGGAAAAAAAGTAAAAGAAAATAAGAGGTTACATCTAAAGATATTCGAATATGTGATGTTCAAAGAATGAATTGATTTTCACCACTACTGTCAGTCTTCAGTGTTGTCGTTCAAAGCTTAGTATCATAAACTTTTAGTATTATAAACTCTTCGATGTTCTTCTAACACAATCTTACGTCAGCCAATAAAGTGTTGAAAGTCCTCGAGAATCTGTAGGAAAAGTCTTTAGAAACCAGGGAAATTCTGAAAACCGTATCATTCGACCAGCGTTCAATGGGACCTTATAAGAGACCCTTAGATAAAAGACATTATGTCACACCCTTACTAGATCAATATCTATTATAATACTAAATCCAGTGGTTTCTAGAAATTTTCAAAATTTCAAAAACATTTATAACACATCCTTGTTTTCTGCATGTAAACTAAACTAAAGCCAAACTTCTCATACTTCCCACCTCTCAATCATTTGGAGCTCAAGTGTAAGAAAGCCACTGTTAAACGTCTCGCAAAACTCACTGATTTAGTTGGTAACAATGCATAACACACAAGTGCTTACTATCTCCCATTGATTAAAGATTCATAGCTCCATCAAGAAACCTAACACATTTACATGATACCCTTTATCTAGCAATTATTACAATTAATTATTTCCTATATTGGTAACATTAATTTTTAGGTAATATTTTTTTAAAACAATCATAGACCCCAATTCAAATTTGCTAATTCCTTGTTTATAATTTAACACGGTATCTTCTCTGTGAGAAAAATAATATTTTGAATAATTTCACTTCATTATTACTACAATTTTCATAATTAATACAGTATTTCATCATTTTTCTTCACTCTTTTAAAAGAAAGTTAACGTTTACTACTTTTGACATCATAATAATATCTTAACGCTTCATTCTATTTTAGCATTGTTTATTTTTTACTTTTTCTTTACAACCCTTGTGTTGTTTTATTTGTATCCAAAGAGCAACTGTTTTTGTTTTCGTCCAAAATATTTTGCATCATCTATTATATAAGTTCAAAAAGTTGTCGTTATCTGTCGAAATTTGAAATTGTTGAAAACAAAAATATAAATGCTTCCAGTCAATGTTCACATTCTCACCATTATGAATAATAACGTACATGATTATCATATTACATAATACGTCTATATACTTTTTCATGTATTTCCTTATTTCTTTGAATATGGAATTTTGTCTCCTTTTCAATTGACCGTTTGACAACTTGTAACTAAAATGAACGAGTCTTTTTATTTCTCTTCCAACTTCTATAACATAATATTATAAATGTTTTAAACAGTATAGTTCAACGTACTTGATATCTCTGTAGATATATGTATCGTTCATTATATTTCACTGCAAAGATCAGTGTAGTACTAATGACGTTGTTTAATGAGCTTACCTATTTTACATTCGTTTTTTCTTACACATTAATAAACTGACATTAATATTATTATTCTATCGTTACCAGTATTAGCTGTAGTACACCGGGTTGATTGACAATCATCTTTTGTCGTTGTTATTATTACTATTATTATCTCCCAAATATAGTTCCTTTGTTTGCTGCACTTTCTCACGTTTTATACTTCCCAGTCACATTTGTCTTTATTTTTGTTATACAATCCGATTGAATGATGACATTGTTGACGATAACCTGCTGTGTTTTGTGCTTCACTCTTTTTGTATATTGTTATTACATTCTGTGAAGACCTTAATCGATTGATGAATATATATTCATACTAACTTTTTACTGTGTTACTGTTTCTAAAATGATTGTCATACTAGATTAATTCGATACGACTTTTTCCTTTATTAATTCCTAAGAAAAACAATTTATTTTTATTTGAGCTTTTATATTGACTGATTTCTCTAACTCAGTAATTGGGGGTACCATTGTAAAGCTTTATTCAGAAGTCATAGTAATGGTTTGCCATTTCATGTTGTCATGTTTCTTTATGTTACAATTAAAAGAGAGTCAACAAATAACATAATAAAATAAAACGAAACTTAATAATGTGGTAATAAGATATCCAATATGTGTTGTTTTGGTCCAGACTACTTGATTAAGATTCGCGCGATTATTATAATCAGTGATTAATGATGTTGAATGATACAATGGCTCATAATCTGTTGCTGTGGGGCAGATGCAGTCACTCTTAGTCTTCCTTTAGATCTTGAGTCCTAAAAGGATTTTCAAATTTCTATCCCACAAATTCTTTCTTCCCAAATCATATTGTCTATCCCTAATGTTTTTTAATATTACTGATATTGTTACCACTTCTAATATTTTGATATTTATCTTTGTGATTGCATTTCGCTATGCTGCTATGATATACTAACTTGAACCAACGTATATATGTGCCTGGTTTTTCTCTGGTTATGACTGACTGACTGGTTTGATAGACTAAATATATCTTCACCAGTCACATTTAATGTAAACAATTTCTTAAAATCTGTGTCACTTAAATTGATCACCTATGCAATGTTATTTGATGCTAATTTAAGATGTTTCTGTGATTACTGTGCTTGTTTTTTTTTCGAAAAATTGGTGAGTGGGTACAAACTGCGTTTAGTTCTCTACTTACATCCTGCCTTGTTTTACTGTGAATTTGGCATTTTATGTCATACCGAAATATAAAACCTCAAGCACTTCCCGTTTTTTTCTTCGCATAATTGGCACTCGTTTTCGATAAACGGTTTTCATGTTGAAATTTCCATAATTCTTGAAGTTTGACTATCAGTTATTTCTTTCAGTTTTTGTTATGTGGTCGAGCCAATAAAAAACTTCGTTGTTAGAAATACTGAGTTTACAAATACCTAACTTTTTTCTTAGTTTTTGCACCATTTTCATTTACCTACTGTTTTTATTACTTTATAGGCTCTGAATTAGTTGATTGGTTATTCACACATGTAGATGGTTTTGCAGATCGGCGAGATGCCCGGAGGTATGCATCCAACCTACTGCATTATGGTTATATTTGTCATACCGTTAATAAGAGTACATTTTCCGAACAATGTTACTATACTTTTGGAGATATAGCCACAAGTAAGTTTGTTTGCCTGCTTGAATATTCCTATTTATAAACATCTTTCAATAACTGAGTTTAATAATATTTAATTTTTTCACTTTTTTCTCCAGCCTTGTCTCATCTTAATTTAGACGAAGTAGATTCAGTTTCTGAAATCGGTGCTAATTCTTCATCTCATACTGGTACTCATCCTATGATGCCTCAAATGTATCCTCACGTCCACCATGTGCTTCCTGATGCTCCTGGTGGTGGTTCAGCTACAGGTCTATCATCAGTACAAAATCAAAATGCTCCATCTAATCCTAATCTAGGTTTAATGTCATCTCCTATACCTGGTGAAGGGAATTCACTTGCTCAAACCAACTCTCATTATCCCTACCCACCTGTACTTTATCCTATTCCATCAACAGCTCCTGTGTCGTCGTCTGGTCCTTGTAATGTTGATGCGAATGGAAATGACTGTAGTTTTGTTAACCCAACTCATCTGCTCTTTCTGGTCTTAGAAATAGAATGTCAAATAACGGGTAAGTTTAAAATGACTTTTTGTTCCGCGATGTGTTTTTTTTACACCAGATTATATTGTCAATTTAGTGTTTGATTCTTTTTATTTGAGATGTCTCATATATCTTTATTCCTAGACTTCTTCAAGATTAAAATGTTGCGACAAAGGGTGTCAATTTAGTTATGGGAATCTGTTGCCAGTTTACTTTGTGTATCTCTTAATATCCATATGTTCTTAATCTTCTATAAATAACTTGAATTGAAATCCAAGTATTTAATGGATTCGTATATTTTTAAATGTTTTTTCCTGTTTTTTTCAAACGTTAACCTACGTCTTAGTTGTTCAATTTTTATGTTTGGAGATATGTTTTTCTTTTTACTTGCCTTTGTTTAGTTATATACGTCCTCAGTAGTTCTGTTTCATCTATTATTTTTAGTCAAATGGGTGTGGATTCTGCCATGTATCCGGTAAATACCACTACCATGGCTCCTCATACACGTTCTGTTATTCCTAATCAGACACATGTTACTACTATGAATGCTACATCAAATCAAAAGATACAACAGCAGAAAGTAAACAACTCTTCCTCGTCTAGTTCATCTCGTTCTTCTGCATCTTCAACATCTTCCTCTTCTACCGGTTATTCTGGTAACAGACGTCCAGCTGGTCTATCGGCTAATACTACTACTCAAACACTTAACACCAATGTTCCTCAAAGTATGATCACACCACTAGATACCTCAGCTTCTAAAGGCCTTCCTTCCTTAAATAAGGGTATTCAACGACGCACTGATCCATCAAGTGTACAAAGTCTTTCCGGTTAGTTTTTATTTCAAAATTATGAGACTGAGAGTTCACATGTCCATGCATGAGGCTGGTGTGTTTTTGCAATAACCGTGTATTTCAAGTATATATGTATACTTCAAACTCCAGTTATCTATAATGAATGTTCGATCTAATTTCTGTCTGAGTTGGCTTTTTGGTTGACAAACATAAATAACAAGCTGATTATTTCCATCCATGCAAAAATATGTGTTAATTCTCATTGATGGTGAGATTTATTTCCGAAGTTTAAACTTGACAAACAAAAATTCAACTCATTCATGAAATGATTAAATATTTAACAGTATTTTAGTTGCATGCAATGATAAATTACATAATTGACTATAAATACTTAAGAGTACTAAAGGATAACAATAGTATATTAGTAGTTGTATTAGCAATAGCAAACAATGTATCATCTTTCTGTGTACTAGTAAATGTATCAATGAATCAGTCCTTTTTCTGTGCCATCTGAAGAAAAATAAGTTTTATCTTATTGATGCTAATTATTTCATAGTATAGTTGAAATGTGAATGTTCCTCCTACTCTCTCTCTTTGCGTGTGTGTATGTTAGCTGCTGAGGTGTCTATAACTCATATATTGTTTATCATAATCCGCATACAAAATACTTGCTCGCTTTTAATCAGTTCTTTTGTAAACTCCATCACTACTACCATAATCAGACTTCTACTTCAATTAATTTATTTCTTTGTTTTTTCTGACCCAAATTGCCATTTTAAAGAATTTAGTAGTGTCATCTCAAAATAATTCTATCACAGTGTCGTTGTATGTTTGTACATGCTTTTTGTACTAATCGTTCATAATCGTTTCAGTGCCTTGGGGATTTCAGCACCTAATGTGTTACTATTAGGTTCCAAATAGGAATCCCATCATATATTTCACTCGCTTTGGTCAACCAGAGAATATCACCAAGCTTGAAACATACAAATAAAGTTTAGCTTAGAAACTAAATGTATAAGCTTGACTATAAAAGAAAATACCCTACAGATTTGATCTCCTTTCTTTCTCGTAACTTTTATGATTGTACCGTTAACAATAGTTATTAATTTGTTTTAGCCTTGCAATAATTAATTTATAAATTTCAATTTAATATAACAAGTTAGTTTATTTTAATGGGATACTGGTTTGATTTTTTCGACATATAAAGTGATTGATCTAAAAGGTGATCACATGAAATGAATTATTTTTCACTAATTAAATAAACTTGTCATCTCTATCTATACTTTTTTTAAGTCAAGTAATTTTTACCTCTAAATTGATAGTATAACTGTAGTGGTTGCCTAATAGGTAGTAAAATAAATTAGTTGACCGTCAATTATTGAGTCACAGGTCTGATGAACACATCCGTTTTCTATCTTCTTTGGTTTCAGCAAGTCAATAGCATTAGTATTCCTTATGATAAATAAAATGGCATAAATTCGAGCACTATAACTGTATACTACTTGCTAAATAAGTTACAATAAACAGATGATTAAACATTCAGGTTAGATATCAACTTCAAGATAGTTGACACTTAAGTAATAACCTGCAGAAGTCTTTTCTCTGATTTGAAACAATTTGTTAGTATGAATTTACAAGCCCGATCTATAAAACTTTAATTTTAGCTTTATAAATGTTTGATTGCGTTCTATTTCAGTTAATAATTTTACCTTCAAGTAATTTGTGCTATCAAAGTATTGATTAATCTTCAATATAATCTATTAAGATTCACTGCTATCGCAGGTTACAAGTGCACATTATATCTCAGTAAAATTTTTAAAAAATTCTATGAAAATTATCCCAAGATTAAAATCAATGATCAGCAGCACATTAATTAATTCCACTGAACTGAAAAATAATGTGAATTGAGTATCTGCATTAATTTTTAACACGATACAATTTCATAAAGAATCTTTAATTCATTTACAGTGGAGTGGTAACTTAGTGGTTCTAGCACTTGGTTTTCAACAAGTAGGTCAAAAAGTTCGAACACTGTTTCAGTTATTTCGGTTCGGCTGACGTGGAGCGTATCGTTAGCCGTCATATAAATAAAGTGTAACCCATAACTCAATACATAAAATCTTCACACAATACATGGATTAATCAATCTACGGAAAGAACAATTAAGATTTTTCTTCTCTCCCTCTCTCTCTTAAACATTGTTTTATCCTTAATATTAGCCATGACAATTGTGTAATTCATAATGAATCTCTACCATTCATTGATTGATTTACTCACTAGCCTTTTTCAATTTTTGTTCTTTCATTTCTTTTTTTTGTTTTACCTCGGCAAAACAACAACAAAATGTGGACTACTTTCTAAATGAATGTACAAAATGTGGTGTTATACACATATGTGTGTATGTTTGTGTGCTTGCACCGCTTGCTTGTGTTTACAAATACGATTTTTTAAAATTTTATTTCTTTGTAATTACTTGTCTCCTGATTTGTTTGGGTATCATGATATTCTTGCTTTTACTATTTATCTTCGATTCGGATTATTATTATGTTTATCATGAATATAATTACTACCTGTATTGTATATGCACATATGTGTATATATGTATGTTTTTACATCATTATTGTTGTACAATACCCTAATTCTAAGTCCCGGTTACTCTGGTCATGTAATAATGATAATAATGATAAATTATATTTATCCTAATACTAATTCATTGTTTAAACCTTGAATCGTAATTATCATTGTGGATAATCATGTGTTAACTGTTGTGTACATTGAACACACTGAACCTGGAAATCCTTCATCTCAAAATCAACTTACCCAATCAAATTTTGTTGGAAATGCAATATACCCATTCACTGACTTTTGATTTATATGTATATATGTGTGTGTTTAGTCTCATCTCATCCATGTTTTTGTATGCCATTCATCCGAAAAACTCTTAATTCATCATCGCATGCTAATAATAATAATATTAATAATGCATGTAAAAAATTAGATACACAACAGAAGCAACAACAAGAAGAACAACAACCATGTCAAACTAAAAATGTTGTGCATGATCGCCATTCTGATCTGCATGAACTAGATTCCGCAAAAAGCTCATTAATATTGTTATCCGATGAGAATGTCAATAATAACAATTATAAGATAGTTGATAATCTATCATCAGTTGCCATTACTAATTCTACCATATCTACTACTCCTACAAATGGTAATCGACGTAATTCATACTCAGTGAAATCATTAAACCAACAAATAACGAATAATGTTATTGATAATGACCGAACAACAACAATAACTACTACTAGTGAATGTTACAGTAATAATAAAGAAATAGATCATAATGACAGTGATAATAATAATCAATTATTTTGTTGGCAAAACATGACAGTATCATTAATAATGATTTCAATACTGAACATTTATCATTCATGGAAGATAAAATACATGAATCAGGTTTGATATTGTGCATACATATAAGTACATTATTATAGATTATTACTACTAATTCAGTTATATGATTTGACTAGCCTTAGGGTGTATATATTCTGTTTGTACTATAGATAAATAATCTCAAAAATAGGCAAGTATAATGCACACTCACTGTATAATCACTTTTACTATTATTACTATTACTATTATTATTAATATCGTCTAGTTCTTACAATAAATCAAGTATATTTTTTGGTTATTTCTTCACATATCAAACAATAATTTTTGGTACATTAAACTAATGGTAATTTACTGCACTTTTCTTTTAACAGCTCATGGTTTATGCTAGAAGGCATCATCTATTTGTGTTTTTTTTCCTTTACTAATTGCAACCATTGTTCCACTTATGATATATACATATGTATGTTTTTTCTATGTGTAATATGTTTAACAGTTTAATTCTCCAATTGGATACTCCTACGCTTTTAACACGTTTTTTTTCATTACTTTCAATTTTAGGCACAAGCAGTACTAGTTCTGCAAGTCGCCAAAATGGAACTGGGGCAAGTGCTGCTGGGAGTGGTAGCGGCAGTGCCGTAACTACACATGTACTCAAAAAATTTAACACGAATAATAATGGTAATAATAATAACAGTGTATCTAATAAATCCGAATTTCTTGACAATGTTCAACGTACACAGCATGGTATGGATTTTAACAATGCATTTCGTCAAACTAATTGCAATTTAGTTAAAGATTCAAACAATAAATCAGAACTCAATCAATCATTTAATCATACAATGACAACTGGTGGAAGTAACATTACCACTGGTGGAATTCACAATAATCAGAGATGAAGTAGTCTATGCGTTCATTCATTCGTATACATAAACTGACAGATTACTCTTTCTATAAATTGGTAATTATTTTATTTTATTTATTTATTACATAATACTTATTTATGATGTTTATTTATGCACCACCTAGAACACATTAGCTTCATGTGAATTTCAAATGATATTATTTGTGTTAATTAAACATTTATGTTTATAAAATTTCCTGGAAGTTTATCATCCATAAATTAACTGGACAATCACTAGTATTCTGTTGAAGGTAGACAATAAGATATGAATTAACACAGTCCATTGATTTGTGTATGTTCAGAATTGGGTTTTAAAAAATATTGGAAGTGATTGGAAATCCTGTTTTGACGTTCGTATTGAAGATTCTCATTTTGACATTGGCTGACAACTATTTCGAGTAGCAGATGTTCTTCAACTGTAGGAATGCTATCCTCGCTTTTCCAATCACCGCCTTTACGTCTGCATCAGATACTCCTTGTTTATCAATAATGCTTCTCAGATACTTGAAAGTTTCTATCAGTTGCAGGGTTTCTGCATCAAATGTGATTGAGTTGGTGTTCTCTGTGTTGTATTTGAGGACGCTAATTTCCCCTTGTGTATGTGGAGGCCTATTGATTCAGAGGCTTCTGCTACACTGGCTGTCCTGATCGGTATTCGTTGATGTGTATGGGATAGAATGGTCAGTTCATCTATGAAGTCCAAATGGTCTAGTTGCATTCAACCTGTCCATTTTATTCCGTTCTTCCCGTCAGATGTGGAGGTTTTCATAATCCAGTGTACCACCAGAAAAAAGAAAAAAGGTGATAGTAAGCAGCTTTGTCTGACTCCGGTTCTTACTTGGAATGCATCTGTCTGCTGTCCTCCATGCACGACGTTGCTGTGTGGTCCGTCGTATGGATTATGGATGATGGTGATTTTCTCAGGTACGGCATAAGGTGGATGAAGTTTCCATAATGTTCTCCCACCCATACTGTCAAATGCTTTCTGATAGTCAAATAAGTTGATGTATAGTGACGAGTTCCATTCAATTGATTGTTCAACGATGATCCGTAATGTGGCGATCTGGACCGTGCATGACCAATCATTACAGAATCCAGTCTGTTGATCTCGAAGTTGGGCATCTACTAAATCCTTTACCCGGTTCAGCAACATTGTTGAAGACCTTCCCTGGTACTTACAGTAGTGTGATGCCTGTGTAATTTTCACTCTTGCTCATTTTTCCTGTCTTTGGAATCTTGATGAGATATCCTGCTTTCCAGCCTTTCGACACTTATTCTTCCTCCGAAATCTTTTTGAGTAGAACGTGAAGCATGTTTGCAAACGACTATATGTCTGACTTTAATGCTTCGGCTGTTATGTTGTCAGGTGTTTCGATAAAGATCCATTCCTTATGGCGATGACTCTTGACACCCAGAACTCCTTGCCACCTTGAAGTAAATGCTTCTTTGATCCCTTTCCAATTGTTATCCTTAGTGTTCCCCTCACCTCTGAGTAGTTCTTGTAAGCCTTGGAACCTGTTGTTGAGAGTTATCTTGAATTGGTTGAGTTAGTCAGTATATCGAAGGAGGGTTGTATTGAACATTTGTAATCCTGTTTCCCCAGTTGTCCAGTGCTTCTTTAGCTTCAGTTTTACCTCGGCAACCAGCAGGTAGTGATCTGAAGTTATGTCAGCTCCTCTACTCGTTCTCACATCCTCCATTGACCTTGTGGATTTTTTACTGATGCAAATATGATCTATCTAGTTCCCAATGTAGTGGTCCGGTGAGACCCATATAACTTTGTGTATGCTTTTGTCTAGGAAAATTGTGACACCTATAACCAATTCGTTGAATGCACATAGATTTGCAAGTCTCTTGCCATCCTCCTTCCTTTCTCTCAGTCAGTTAATGTCGTCCCATGATATCTTCATAACCGCTGTTGTCCATTCCGAATTTGGTGTTTAGATCTCTCACCAGAATGGGTAGGTCCTTTTTTGGGCACTTCTCTATGATCGATTGCAGCCTATGGTAGAACTAATCTTTATTGTCGTCGTTGCTATCATTGGTGGGTGCATAACACTGGATAACATTCATTATAATTCCCTCCTTCTTTGTTCTGAATGATGCTTTGATTATTCTGGATCCGTGAGATTCCCATCCTACAAGTGTACTTCGTGCTTGTTTGAACAGCATCAGAGCGATTCCCTGAGTGTGTGGAGCATTTTCCTCTTCGTGACCGGAATAGAGTGGCATCTCTCCCGTACCTAACCTTTGATGTCCAGTTTGAGTCCAATGGGTTTCAAAAATTCCGAGTACTGCCAATTTGTATCTCCTTATTTTCATAGGTATTTGACTGGTATTGCCGGTCTCCTACATGGTGTGGATGTTCCATATAACTATAAAAATTACTGCTCTGGTTGTTAGAAGGGGCATCGACTTCGTGACTTCCGAAGAATCTTGGCTTTCATCATGAGGCGTCATAATTCTTCCTTCATCTCCGTGAACAGGGTTTAAATGGTTTGAATTGTATATTCTGGTTAGTGTCTTTTACCAAGATTGTTTTCTACGAATGGCGTTGCCGACCTCATGCCCAACCCTCCTCCTTTGTGTGGGCTTGAGACCGGTAGTAACTCTATAAGTGCTACAGATGGAGTTAGAACTTAAATTGAAGTACCCTAAATCACTGATTTGATATGTTCCAATAGTTATGGTTAGTTATTAATATTATTTAGGCTCCTTTTTGAATGGTTTGCTATTATCGTCTTTTGATGGAAAGGTACTTTTAAGAAATTTATTTATTTATTTTACATTTACATATCTATGTAGATTATGACATTCAACATGTGTTTAATATCGCAATTACAGTGTAAAACATTTATTATAGTACAATATACAACTTCTTTATTTTGGTTTGTTCTTTTTTGTAGATATAGTATTACATTAATTTGCTATGTAAGATTTCAGACTAGTTAATATTATGACTCTTCAGTTTTTCATCAAAAGGTTTTTTTACTTAAATTCCAAATGATAAGAAAAATTTGTAAATCCACGGCAAATATGTAATTTTTTACCACATAATGAATTCGTTTAGTGATCACTGGGTGTTGATGATCAAATAATAAAGCTCAAATGGCCGCAAACTGTTACTCAGTTCAGATATAAGGAAAAAATCATTAGATATGCCGTACTCTCATACTCGTAATCTCTTTGCTCACGTTCATCACGTTAATTCAATAGGACTCTGATCTACTATTGATCGATCACTGAATAATGTGTAATTTCATGTTCATCTAAAGAGGTCGTTACACAGTAATCAATTGATTGCAAATATCTCGGTTTTACAGTAGGCAAGCCGTCGCTCAACTAGCTCAGTGAGAACACCTCAGACTGAAGCGGGGTTAAATATGGAATAAGAATCCGCAGGAAGCACCAGTTCGCTAAAGATTACATGTACACCAAATAACACGAAACCTTGGTTTAGGGTTTCGTATCGACTACTTTCAACCACCCAACCTATTATATACAAACTTCTACCATTACTATCATTACTACTACTTATCATTGTCATTATTATTAAGATTATAAAATCCAACTTTATTATGAAAACTGTAAACATTTATCATTCAGAGTTGTTTTCTTTATTTATTTTTTCTTATTTCTTGTAGCAAATTAAAGACCTTCAGTTTGCCGATTAATGGCATAATCATTTGTGGATCTGTTTAATTTTCTATCTAAAAATCCGACAAAGGATAAAATGTTACAGTGGAAAAGACATTCATCTTATTGTTTTCAAGCGATTTGCTTTTTTCAGTAATATATATATATATATATATATATATATATATATATATATATATATAAATTACGTAACAAGATGACAATACATATGTATATAAATATACATATGTTCGTATGTATTATTCTTCACACTTTCACCCGGTCTTTCTTTACATAATATTGTTTTAAGTTGTTTTTGTTTAGTATCCGATATTTTTTTCTCTCACATTCACTTATCTGTTTCACTTCTTTAGTAACTTTTCTCATGTCACAAATGTAAACTTTATTTATTCATAGTGTGTACACTGACCTATTCAGTGTATACGGAGAGTTGTCTTTGCTCTGTCGTTGATATTAATATTGTTTTTAATGGAACTTGTATACGTTATGAGAAATCCATTCACAGTTCCTACTTTCAAACGATTAATTTGCTTTACTATATTGTCCCTCTTTCATCGTTTCTCCAGGTTACACCTTGTTATATCAGTCTTAACTACATATGGGAAGCGTGTGATGGATGGATTGAAGTCTATCTTATTTTAATTTTCTTTGTTATTCGAAAATTAGAGGAAACTCACCGTATTCAGATATTTTCAGTCCTATGTTGCTTTTTGTTTTTTCTCTGTGGAGATATTCGTGGTTGCTATGACTTGTTAAATCTAATGACTAATCTTTGTTTTGAAGATAAACAGTTACGTAGCAAACTCATTATATGTTCATCGTAAAATGGCATTTCCTTCCTCTTTAATCGCTGACATATGAACATAAAAGACAATTTACAATGATATAAATCTATTCGTCTTTTTACTTGATGTGTGATATAAACATTTGTTTCATTTCTTAAAGCGCCCCATCCTTGTTCATGTAATCATGTATTTTTATTCTGTTCCCTTTCTTATCTTTCTCCCTACCCATAAATAATCTATTTATCGTTTTTGATTTCACTCTCCCTATTTTTTCCTGTATTTGAATTTCTAACTTGAGAAAATATTGATTCTATGCATAGAGTGTGATTTTTCGATCTTAATTAATCCAGAGTGTATTTCGCTATTGTAATTTTCGATCGAATCTTTCTTTTTTTCGTTCAATCAGTGCTGGAAATGCTTCCATTTAATTCTTTTTTGTTTTCTCCTCTGTTTTATGATTTATTCTTTTTTTTTATTGTGAACTTATCTATCTGAGTTTTCTCAAATAGATATTTTGCTCTGAACTATTATGCATACATGCATATGATTAAGTAGTTTAATTCATCATATTTAGTTCTTTCTCATTTTGTTTTTCAATCCATCTTTTATTAGAAATATATTCAAAACGTTAAGATATTTGTTGTTTTGTCTTTATCTACTCATATTTCTGTTTTTCTTATCATAAAATAGTTGTCAATCTAGGGAATACTCTCTCTTTTCCTCAACTCCAAAAATATATATTTCTATGAAAAAAAGACAACTTGAAATAAATAACAGAGAATGTCTTTTTTTTCTATTATTATCGTAGAAATTATCATCGGTATTGTTGTTGTTATTATTATCATTGTGGTAATGATTAATTATACTTGTATACTTGAGATCAGTTGGAAGAGTCTAAAGTTATGTAAGTTTCTTTTGAATAATGTTAGTGCTATAATTTTTCACCGTATTATTCAACAATCATGCTATTATATGTAATACTATCAGTGGTACTAGTAGTGTTTAAGCATAGATAATATAATCCGAGAAGAAAGAATGAATTCGTATAATGGAAAAGTATAAGATAATCTCAATATCTAAAGGAGGACATAGAGTGAGTGAATCTTTGCGTTACGGCCGATTTTTAGTTATATCATCCATCTTTTTCAACTATTTGTTGTGATTATCTTAAATACTCTAGTCGGATAGTTTCCACCTACTACCACGGCTCCATAGATCAGATAATTATTTCATGAACTGATACCAAGTTTTGATTTGATTGCTACGAGCTCTCTTCGAACTTATTCCTACGCCAACAAACTTCATTGACTGGGGTAGGTAGTGGTTGGACATATGTTCCAACCACCTCAGTTAATGAAGATTCACTGTCTTACCAACCAGTTGTCATCTTTACTTAGTACCCTGTATCTAATCTCATCACTAACCAATCGATAGTCCGCACATATGCGTTGATCTATGACCAAATACTAATAACCTATACATATGCCCTCTATTTTCAAAGGTCACGTCACAACCACAAAGAACAAGTGAAACTACCGTTCAGCATACTCTTCCTTCAATTGTCAAACGGATATCTATCGTACCTCCCAAGCAACGCACGTTGGAAGAAGGACAGCTGACAGATGCATTCCAAGTAAGGACTGGAGTCAGACAAGGCTGTTTACTCTCTCCCTTCCTCTTTCTTCTGGTGGTCGACTGGATTATGAAGACCTCAACATCTGAAGGAAAACACGGAATACAATGGACAGCTCAGAATCAATTAGACGATTTGGACTTCGCAGACGACCTAGCCCTCCTATCACGTACACACGAACAGATGCAGATGAAGACAGCCAGTGTAGCAGCAGTCTCTGCATCAGTAGGCCTCAGCATACACAAAGGGAAAACCAAGGTCCTCAAATTCAAGGCGGAGAACAGCAATCCAATCACTCTTGATGGCGAATTTCTGGAAGATGTAGAGTCCTTCACATACCTGGGAAGCATCATCGATGAACAAGGAGGTTCAGATGCAGACGTAAAGGCGAGGATCGGCAAAGCAAGAGTCGCATTCCTACAATTAAAGAACATATGGAACTCAAAACAACTTTCAACCAATATCAAAGTGAGAATCTTCAATACGAACGTCAAGGCAGTTCTACTGTATGGAGCTGAAACTTGGAGAACTACAACAACTACAATCAAGAAAGTACAAGTATTTATAAATAGCTGTCTACCCAAGATACTCAACATCCATTGGTCGGATACCATCAGCAATAGCCTACTGTGGGAGAGAACAAACCAACTTCCAGCTGAAGAAGAAATTAGGAAAAGACGATGGAAATGGATAGGGCATACATTACGCAAATCGTCAAACTGCATCACGAGGCAAGCCCTAACTTGGAATCCTGAAGGGAAGCGAAAAAGAGTAAGGCCAAAGAACACATTGCGTCGGATAATAGAAGCAGATATGAAAAGGATGAATTACAACTGGACGGAGCTGGACAGGATTGCCCAGGACAGGGTTGGATGGAGAATGCTGGTGAGTGGCCTATGCTCCTTCACGAGGAGTAACAGCGTAAGTAAGTAAAGTAAAGTAAAAGGTTTCGCTAAACACTAAACCACTAGAACTGATTAGACTTGCAAGATTAGTGAAGCGGTCGGCGCTCTTAACTACTTCGCTCCCTGTCATCATTTCAGGCGTCGACACAGATAATTTCCAAAGTAACATTTCTCAATTCGAGAAAAGGAGAGGAAATGGCATTTCTAACGTGTTGGGATTGTTGCTCAAAGCTACCAGACTTTTTCTAGCGTCTTCGCCAAACAGAACCATACCATCTGCTCATTCTAAGTCGATATGTAAAAATCATCTCAGGAGATCAGTGCCTGAAAAGTCAGATAATTAGAGCATTATCTCCAAAAGATTCTTAGATAATATTAGGCAAAGTGGGCAACTTTGATGTATACTACTTGTCGCTATCAGTTGTGATAGCACTTCTCCATAAGCTCTCAACCAGTAGTACTTGAGTATAGAGAGCCTTGGTAAGGTTTATTCACTTTTTTGATACATCTTTTGTTAACGGTATTTATCGCGGCCAGTGGACCCAACAACTCTTACCATGCAACACATGATGTAGGCTGAAAATACGAGTTCCCACCTACCTTTTACTCTATGGTTGTACACGAGTTTACCATAACCTATTCGTCATAATAGTAACCAAAATTTTATCAGCTACTGGTCCCCATGTTATTAAACTCCGACGTAGCTCGGTAATCTTTATGAGAGCTGTTCAAACATATTTTGTCCAATCGGTTATAACGTTTCGAACACTACCTAGGCTTCTCATCGGGAATTTCAGTAAATGTTTCGAACTGACTTCCTCATAACAATGGGCGTGATTGTTTTCTTTAATTTAGTATTTATGGTCGTACAGCCCACAAGATTATGGTCGGTTATCTAGACTGTTGGACGAGCTGACATTATCCCTAAAGTAAGCTGTTCGGGCAAACAATTTCATACTCTAACCAACGTGTGTTTCTGTTTTTGATATCTCGTAAGATTGGAACAACTTTCAGCGGGGCAGGTTGCTGTTTCTATCTCTTTGCATTCAATAGGTCTTCCTACTCCATGTCTAAATTTAATTTGATGTAACACAATCACCAAACTACAAACATATTCAACTTAGATTTATACAACATTATACGATGAGCAGTGATATTATACATAAATACCTAGACCAAAGTGTGTGTATTCAATGATCTAAACTGAAATATCTCAACAACTGAGCCAGTTATCCATCTAATCAATAGATATGTAATGAGAAATATTCCAAGTAACTAATTTGAAACGAATAGTAGAATGATGAAATTTAATTTTAAATCACAACATTCAATCGAATGTAATTAGCGACTAATGTTCTAATTAGTTGAAAAAGTGAATGCTTTGCGTAATCTCTTGAAGATCTGACCAAACAACCATGACTTGGACAGAAAAAATTCACACAAGTTGGTATAAAATAGTTAAAATTAATTAGTTGAAAAAATATTTGACTTTTTTACCTTGTGATCAACCTTAACAAAATGTGTTAATATTCTAAATACGTGGGTCAGATCACATTTTCCTATCTAGATGACCGTTAGCAAAAACTGACTCAATGCTTAGGGAAACATATCGCTCTATACACAAATCTATAACAGAATTACACCAATGATCTCGCAAAAAAACATGCTAATGCTATTCACTCTTGATTTCTCAATTTTCATCTTTCGTTTACCTCGTCTGAATCCGAGAACTCAAACTGCACTTTCTATGTTAAACTCCGATTTCCATCATTGTTACACTGTCCACATTATGAAACACTGGAAATTGTTCACTGATAGAACACATTAATATCTCCTTCATCATCATCAAGACCATAAAGTTCGAGATGTATTCCAATTATCATGACATGTGAATTCATGTGAGGATCACTTAAGATAATTTAATATATACTACTGATATTTATTTTTGATTGTTTAACTCACTGCTTATTAATCCTAAACCAGAATCAGGCAACTATATGCTGATTCTTGGTTATTAGTGTTCCTCCAGTTGACATTATTTGATAATAAGGACAAATTTGACTCATGACTGATTATTTTTAGTGTTATTACATTTCTTCACATTTTCCTTTAAGCGAATTGTCATCCATCTTAGGCAACTTCGTCATGATGTTGCTGTTGAATTCTTTTAGAATGTAACCATTAGGTTATGTGATTCGGCGAGGCATCAGATGTTAGACGAAATAACTGGCAGTTGTTAATTCATTTACCAATGAAAGACTCAAGTAGTCATAATAAGCAGTCAATGGATCATAAATGATGTGATATTAACAATCTCTTATCATTGTTTGGATTGTAATCAATTACTATAAATTGTGAAATGAGTAATCAGAAGAACGTCAGTATCCTCAAGGATTTTGATGATTTTACACCGACATAAAACAGAACCCGTTGTTGAATTTGCTTAACTGAAACATCGAATAAGGATTATCAGAACACACCATTGCATTTTGTGGTTAAATTGATGTTACATTGAGTAGAATTTAATCAACACTGAGGTATATAACACAAGGAACTATTCGGAATGTCTTACTTTCTTATCGACTTATTGTACCGGTACATTTGTCCAATACAATAGTGTTTTAACTAAGGTAACTAAACTGATAATCCTGTGTCTTAATGCGTTTCCAAATTCTAACGAACCATTAGTCAACTAACTGATCAAATTATAATTGTAGAGAACCAAAAATGTTATTAATAAGATAGATAACAAAAACCATGACTGATTAGATAATGAATTATTATTCAAATAAAATAAAGGTGGGAAAATGAGTTCAACATTATTTTTCACGCCCTCAACATATCAAAAGGATGAGCACTATAAATGTTTCTAGGTGCCGATTCTATTTTTCAGCCGAATCATAGTTTTCTAATTGTGTTTATCATTAGTAAATAAAATCCACATTGAATATAATCAACAGTGACACATTAATAATTAAGTAATCAAGTCGTGTTATTAATGTATGTTACGTTTTATTGGTCGTAACAATCTTGTTTATGAATAAAAATTTTAAAAAATCCCCTCTGGTTTAGAAATGAATTTCATATGCTGATGAGAAATAAATAAATTGATTCTAACATGTTCCGTAATTGGTTTGTACAATCACCAATCGTTAAATGCTTTTCTAACCTTTACATCTATTATGAAACAATTTTAATTAAGATAATGGAAAGTATAAACCAAATTAGAACGTATTTTATTTTTCCTAATTGGTTTACTACTAATTACATAAGTAATTAGTATCAGAATGAGTTTTATGGATATTATATTAATTTTAACAGTTGAGATCATGAGACAATTGAAGCTAGATCACCATGGAAAACCTCGAAACACTGGACGGCCGTTTCGTCCTATTTTGGGAATCCTCTGCAGTGCGCATACACGATCCAGCCCCGTGTGATTAGAACACAGGACCTATCGATCTCGCGCGCGAACGCTTAACCTCTAGACTACTGAGCCGGCTTCTAACGGTGTTATTGTCTAACTTCAATTAATCCACAAATTGAACGACACATATACCACTGTCTTCAGTGAGTTACTATTTCGCTCAATTTCGTGGATTCATTGAAGTTAGACAATAACACCGTTAGAAGCCGGCTCAGTAGTCTAGACGTCAAGCGTTCGCGTACGAGACCGTTGTTCCTGGGTTCGATTCCGATGTAAGGGATCGTGGATACGCACTGTTGAGGAGTCCTGAAATAGGACAAAATGGCTGTTCAGTGCTTCCAGGTTTTCCATAATGGTCTAGCTTCAATTGTCTCATGATCTCAACTATTAAAATTACATAAGTAATTGTTAAGACATTTCAGAAATATTAACAATTTAAAATAGATAATTATATTAATTAGGCTTAATATTGTTACTGTTAAAGTGCAGTACACTGATTATGTGTTCATTAAGCTGAATAGACAAATATTAATTATCAAAATCTGTATAATTTCATATATAAATCGTTTATATTTCGTTTAGTTTTTTTAAAAAATATATCCCAATTTTTTCATTTCGATTTATCTATTGTATTATTTTTTATTCAGGAAAAAAGAAGATTCGTTTCACTTTCGGTTGTACGGCTACTCTCCGTTTTGCTGAAGCGATCGAGATAAAAAAAACTTAAACCGGATCTATGTATTCAAAAAGAGACAGTAATAAACTTATTGCCACCCTAGTAATCCTTTTTTCGTGTGTATGCTTATTGTTTTTTTTTGTTTTGTGTTTGATTATTAGTTTTATTTTGTTATTATTTAGTTTGTGTTATATTCCACTCCCATTACCGAATTCTTAAACCACCTTTCACTCACACATTTCCGCTCACTTGATTCTCTTAAATTATGTGAACTCTTCAAATTCTATTCAATTATTACGTAACCCATTTTATCAGTTTTTAATTCCGTGAATCCTTTATTACCTCACAATTTATTTTATCTGTCTCTGAACTCCACCACCTTGATTCTAACACCAAATAACCTCTGACCTATTCTTGGATATATATATATAAGTTATCATTGATAACCTTTGTCATTCCATTCCTTTACATTCACTATTTCCTATCTCTATATAAAATTCTAATATATATTTGGTTGTAAGCAGCTGACGAGAAACCACAAAATATAATGAATTCATATTATTCTGCATAATTGTTTGTTCTGGCTTTTTTTCTTGAATTATTTGTTTGTTACAATATCATTATTCTATATATTGTGCTATAATGACAAAATCTACTGATTTTTCATTATCACTACTATAACTACTTTTAATATAGTAGTATCTTGTCGAGTAACAATCACACTATTCACAAAACAATCATTTAACATTAATAACTTACCATTAAAAGCTAATTGATAAATGATTTTTATCAGGTGGTTATGAGCAGCACGATATATTATTGCTCTATAAATACAGACAACATAATGTATAGTTTTAACCCAATTTTATACATATACATAGGAATTTCTCCTTACTTAAAAAGTGTCGATAAGTTGTGTTAGATT